TTTAAGGAGGGAGGAATGTGGCAGTCAGCCGGGTTTGATCGCCAGTGGCCAGATAGCTCAGTTGGTAGAGCACCTGACCGGAGATTCAGGGGGCCCGGGTTCAAATCTCGGTCTGGCCTGCTGCATTTTCTCCTCTCCCGTTACACATGTATATACATGTAGTATTCTCTGACATATATATTTAGATGTCTATAGTCTTCTATAACATACACATTACCTGTGCACAGTACTCTATCAGACATAACATACAGATAGTGTTTCATGGTAAAATCTGTGTATAGTTTTCTCATGAGGTATAGCATAAGTATAACTTACTCAAACAGATCTGAGGAGTATTCCTGTGTAGGGTCACTATTCAGTACAGTATTCATATGTAGGGTTGCTATTCAGTACAGTATTCATATGTAGGGTCACTATTTAGTACAGTATTCTGTAAGGTACAACATACAGTATAACTTACTCAAACAGATCTGGGGAGTATTCCTGTGTCGGGTCTCCATCACTATAGTCACTGGTCTGGGAGTCAGAGCGACAGGTGCCAGGTTTTACCGAGGTTCCTCCTAACACAGAGGTCCCAGCTGTTGAGGTGCCTGCACCTGAGGTCCCACTTGGTACAAATGTGCTTTGGGTGCCCACGGGAATCTGGGCTTTCTTGATACTACTTGCATGATCTAAAATTACCAATTAAATTTATTTTATGGCAAGGTACGGCAATATGATATAAACAATAAAACACGATCATGTATCATGGGGGTGCAAAATATGTCCATCAGAGAATTGGATCATACTTATTATTATTTTCTTTAAAAGGAATTTTCATTCATAGATATCTTTCAAAAACCCCTGGTAATGCATGCTGAGTTTTTTGCCCATGAACATCTGATGGAACTATAATCTTAAATTAATAAAAGGAAAAGTTATCCATTTATGAAAATCTCTTGTTTAATTCAAAGTAAAATATATAAAGAATGGAGGCGTACAATACGAGGACAAGCCACCCCTCTGAAAAAAGACATTTCTCAATTTTAAAAGTAGTATTTTTCAAAATGTTATGGTTTATATAATCTTTTACACATCTAATTCATGTATTCATGTATTTCATTGTTTTAATAGTTTATTAATAATTTATTTTTCACTCATGTTTTTAAGACATTTGAAATCAAAAAAGAAAAAGCTTCACATATGATTCGAACTCTCTCCATAGCGCAGGTTTGGTCCAAGACCAACTGCTTTAACCACTAGCTACAAAGTATATGCATAATTGTCGTCTGTCAGTATGATTTAAATGAAAGGGTTTGTTGAAGCGTAAATTTTTTCAGAAATTTTCGATTTTCATATAGAATGGGTTTAGATTCCATTTTTGGACAAATGAAATAGATTTCACATTTACGTTTCCAACATTTAAGTGTTCACGAAGAATGGAGACTTGACCCAATCATGTTCAAAATTCGTTTTTTATAGCTCTATTAAACCCATTTTCCACTACATATGCTTAACTGTCAACTTTGAAATAAAGATTATCAAATGTTAAGTTGTTCAGTAAAATAAAATAATAAAATGTTTTGAAGATGACTGATTACTGAGAACATAATTTTATAAAAATATAACTTTTCTGTGATTTTTGAAAATTGAGAAACATTTGTCTCAGAGCGGGGGATTGTACACGCTTTATACGCCCTTTTTCTTACTAAACATATATTCTAAGTGTTTTGTTTATGCAAATGTGTTTCAGAAGAAGTGTACAACATCATATATAGTCATTAAAGTGTACCACACAGTTCCTTTAAGTATTGGAACTCTTCAGCTCTATTGAAAAAGACAATAAAGTTCAAACTACATTGCATATTAAACCTCTTAAAAATATCAATAACAGAAAGCAGGAAGTTATTATAATTAATAACAGTAACATGAATGTAAGGAGTAAAAACAAAAAAAATATTTTAAAAAGTTAATTTTTGTTATGTACATGTATTTAGAAACCTTTCCACTTAACCTGTGCCACTGTTACTGAATCCAGAACTTTTATCCAATAGGGTGGCCTTGTTTTTCCCCGACTCTGAGTTGACAGATCTGAAATTATGGTACATGTAATGTGTATGTGAATTTAGAATAACGGGAAATATCACCAAAACAAAAACCAGTTCATAGAAAAATTTCAACAAGATTCTGTTGACAGAGTACTTACTGGGATGTGCCATGACTTTGAGTAGGTACCCTCTTCTCCTCCATATTTGTACCTGTCTCTTTTTTACCTTTAAATAAAAGCCAGCTCAGATAAAAAGCCCCCTGCTCTGAGAACCACCCAAACATTTTGTTTTTCTACTACTGACACAATTTCATCTCAGGAAGTGATTATCAAAGTCTGTTGTTCAAAGGAAACAGGCAGGGTTTAGAAATTATCATAAAAATAACATTCCAAATATAGCATCTATAATTAACATAGGGTTTACTTCCTCCCAGATGTGTGGATGTTAGATAAACTTTGGCTGCATGTCAAGTTGATGACACCAGCAAGCCACGATGTCCACCAGAGTAGCTAGCTCTGAATGGGGAATAACTCTGATTGCCAACTGTAGCCCCATTTTAATCCCTAGGATTAATTAAACAGTATTAAAACCACTGGACACTTCCATAAAGATATGACCAATTATGGGTTTACTGTTCTTGAGGAGAAGATTATTTAAAGATTTTTATGATGTACTCCTACATAAATATTTGTCTTCCCATCTATCCCCAAGGGTCACAATTTATACAAAACTTAACCTGAGGGGCGCGTATCATTACCGCTACATTTTCAAAAATTTCATTACCGCTACATAGTCATTACCGCTACAAAAAAACTTACATTATCGCTACATAAAAAAGTATACATTACCGCTACTTTCGTTAGCCAGCCACATATGCATGTACAGTACAACCGATACATGCATAAGACCCATTTCCCCTGCTCACCACGGGGAGGTGAAAGTAGGACTTTGAGCATGATGGTTTTTTTTTATTATTAAAATCAATTTTATTTCATAAAACACAAAAAAATTAAAATCAAGCACTGTTCACAGATAAAATTCTAAGTTTTGTCAAATGTTTTTACACTATTGCTAAAGCCTTGAAAGCCATTTGCTTGACATATTGTTGTTTTCTAAATTTATAACCATCGATAAGTTGGCATTCCATTGATTTGTAACAAACTTCTCAATTGTGGTCATAATGTTTAGATGACGCTAAATAATTAAATTTCGACTGCAGTTATTTTTATAAAGATACTCATTCTGATTAGATAGTGCGTGAATTCTGTTGATTAGAACTCATATACCGAACCATACCTGGCTAAATCGATATGTAGTGGTAATGAGTTGTTTTGGGCTGATTCAATATGTAGCGATAATGAGTTATTTTTGGCCGGAAAAATGTAGCGGTAATGATCGGTCGAAAATCTGAAAAAATGTAGCGGTAATAAGTTGAAATTTTTGGCAATGTAGTGGTCATGTTGACCTCCCAATCTACACTGCCTGAGGAGGTTTCTACATATTAAAGGTTTAGTTTTTCTGGCCAAATAGTGCTTGATTTTTTAAAAAAGTCATTATTTTTTAATACCTTTAAACTCAAAATCTCTTTATCCAAGGATTTTTTTATGGAAAGTGAAATTAAAACTGGCCCTGTGGTTCACGAGAAGAATAAAAAAAATATGAAATGTTTACAAACAGACAGAAGGACATTGGAAAAACTGTGATCAGGAAAGCTCATTGAAACATAATTATGATTTCAATGATTTCCAATAACCTTTTTTCTTCATCACATAATAATTTAATTAACAGTAAGTGTATAACATGTATAATGCAGTATTTGATTAAGAAAAAAAAATAACCGTGCATCATAGAAATTGGGTTGCCTACGTCTCAGTAACTGACATTTTTAAAGGCAATCATCTTTTTTCTTACACTACATGATTAAAATTAAATCCATTATACAATTCCATAAATTAAAAGTGAATAAAATCTTGCCCTTATTTTTTTATTCAGTTATTTTGCAGAATTGACATGTAAATTTCAAGTGAATTCAAATATGTTTTGTAATAAAAAAAATTGGCTAACATTGATTAGGTGTTTTAGTTAATGTAATTATAATTGAAACTAAGAATAGAAACTAAACATTAATCAGAAAATTTAACACTTCAAAGAAAATTATGGAATTAAAAAAAGTATTGTATTTCATATTTATCTTGTAAGTTGGTGGTATAATTAAATATGGTCATCATTTAATCTAAATGTCTCAATCATCACAGTGTACCTTTTTCTTTTCTGCGGAAAAAATCTAAGATGGTTTTTCTTTTCTTCTGAGGTGGTTCACTCATATCAAACAGCTCTGTGAAGTAAAATAGAAATGTTTATCATATACCAATTTTACTATGAGACTGATTAATCTTGATATTTTTTAAAAGATAGAACTTTGTTGTACTTCTACATATTGTTAGCAAATACTGTAAAAGTATTTTTTTCCGTGTGGTATTAATGTACGCTATGTACATGGTCACAAATTTTCCGCAGTAATTTGTCCAAGCGTACTTAATATAAATGTAAGGCACATACTGACAGTCTAAGAAATCCACGTAATTTTCTACCTGGGGATTAAACAGAAATTGAGATTCCGCAGAATTATGACCCCGTGGAAAAAAGTATGTCTACAGTAATCTAAATATAAATTTACTGTTTTAGTAGCAAAGGGTATAACAAAGGAATGGTATTTTGGCAGCATTGTTATAATTAAATGTTTCTAGAATAAAACAATAAACTTTGGGCCTTCACAACCTTGATAATCATTAATTCTTTTTCAATAGTATTTTCACCTATTTTCTACAACATACAGTAAACATGCTTATAGAGAAGTGCCAGTAATAGACCATTTTGTTTTGTTATGAGCATGATTTGTTATATACTTTAAGTTTACATAATTTTTTGGTCAAACAGAATGAAATTCACTTTGATGAAAACATCAATTCTTTAATAAAACCGTGTTCACTTTAAGTGTTGTTTTTTTTTTCTTTCTGTTAATAGATGCACTTCAATATTATATATTGAAACAAATTCATCTTCTTATGACATAATTTTTTAACTCATGAGAAAGTTTCAAAATGTTCTTGTTAATAACTTCTATCAGGGATTTATCAGCCTATTTTGGGAAACGCCATTTTTTGGAAATTGGGAAAAAGTTATCGGCTTTTTGATGATATTGGGAAAAATATATACCGTAAATCTGGAAATTTTTACATCGATTTTATTTTGCGAATTCGGGTCAAAATGGTGTTGATTAATTTTTACGTTTCAAAATTTTGCGAATTACCACTGCTTTGTTTACATTTTCTTATTGGTAATTTATTTTTCAGAAAAATATTTTTGCGAATGTAATGAACTCGCAAACTTGCTAAAAATTTATCTACATCAAAAATTTCCAGATTTACGGTATGTTGCTTAAACCATGTATTCACTATTCAGGTTCAATTTATTTACTGCTGTAATTTGGGCTACCAATTAACAGACAATTAAATATGATCCAACTTCATTAATCACCATACAAGATCAAGTATGAAAAATAGACTAATAAATGTGCTATGTAAATTTGAATTCAATGAGTATTCATTTTATACAACTTAAGGTAGTATATTTGTGTGCCATGAAATTCCAATTTAGGTCATGGGAGATCAGGGATCTTAAATCCCTGGGTAAATATAATAATTACCTCCTGCAAAATAATTTAAACTAAATGCACATTTTCTAAAATATGCATTGAAAATATATTTTTCTATCTGAAATAATGCCTGCAGTTCTTACCATTCACTCTTACATCAATTGAGCAAGTCAAAATTTTTCCAAGGATAACTAAAAAAGCAATGTTCTGCAATTGGGAAAAAATACTGCCAAATTGGGAAAAATTAGGAATGGGGCCGAATTTCGGTCCCTGAGAAGGTACTGATAAATCCCTGTCTATTAATGATTCTTTCTACTAAATACCCGTTCACATGCCCTGATTTACTCACTAGGGGAATTTTGCATGCAGTACATGTACAATTTAACATCAACTTGCTTTTAGATCCTTAGTGGGTTGCAAACACATTTTCCTTGGGAGCTAAGTAACTATTGTCCAACTCATAAAATTTCGAATGCGAGTCTTCCCATTTTAAAGCACTTAATCCAGTAAGAATCATTACACCTTTGTAACATACCGTGTAATTCTGTCACACTTTCCCTAGCCCACTGATACCTCAAATGACCAAGCCAGCAAAAAGACCTAAAGCTACACAGTATGGGAATATCCTCCTTCTTCTGAACCAAAAACAATTTGCAATTTTTTCTATTCAACTTTACAAATCATTGCCATTTTATATGATATGTTGAGCTCCATGTGAACGCTTAGCAAATATATTTTACACCTGGGTGCAGATTTTGCATGCATGCAAAATTTGCACTCAGTAAATAAATCAGTGCATGTGAACAGGGCTTTACACTAAATTTTAATGGTAGGATCAATGAACTCAGTTCCTCTGATCTCGTTACCATGGCTAGTTGAACTTTATAATGGCCAGGATTTTTTTCTATACCAATTTCATTTTCGGATCCAAAATCATTTAATGTTAATGCTTTATACTTTGATATTGATTTTTGCCCATCGTTATTCTTCTCTTTCACATTTCATAACAATTAATATAAAGACTCATGTATAAAATGCCCGAGCCCTCATAGTTTAACTGAAAAGAATATAGTGAAGGTAATTTGAATAGAATCGATTTGTTTATTTATGCTCTCATTGCTCTGCATTATAATAATATTTTTATTTTAATATTAAAAACTGTTTTCAATGTGTACGACAACCTTTGATTCTCTGGAACGCACAACATTCTCTCATGTGAAGGATTCCATCACAATTACCAATTATATAATTAATATATCGCTTGAACATTTAGTCGTACCCACCAAAAGAACTCGTAATTTACAGGGGCATCCTAAAATAGATGCACATTTGCTGGACAGACTAGTTCGAACAGCTCTAGGTCTACTTTCATTTTCGTACTTCCGGTTTTCGTCCTTTTCCGGTGTTCGTACAACCATTCAACATGGTGGGGATTAATACCTATTTAAATCTTGTTGAATCTAACGAATCTAGAGTTTACATATATTTTTATGAACAATAAATGAAAATCTAAAGTAACAATGATAACATTATGTGCAATATTTTCATGTTTAGGTGTATATTTGAATTTAAAACACCATTTTATATGTTTGTTTACATCTACATAATAATGACGTTTTTTGTGCAATTTCTTCGATTTAATCAGTAAAACATTAAAGGACACTTCAAGATTAAGAATTTGTAATATGTTTTAACATAGGAATACGTATATTGCCTGTTATGTTCACTCGGAACATAAGAATAAAGTACGGACCTGGAAAGAATGGGACAAAATGGGAAAGGGGGGGGGGGGGGTAGACTCTGTATCTCTGGCTTTTTATTATAGTAACTTTTAGAAACATATTTTTAAATATATTTCAGAGTGAAGGGGCGGCCACCATCCGAACTAGAAAGTTCATGACAAATCGTTTGTTGTGCAGAAAGCAAATGGTAATATTATGTTTCCTACACATGTACAGCTACTGTCATCCTGGAATATTTCAAATAATTTAAATTCTAAGCAAATTTGCACATGTAATCCATTCACAAAATACTTTTCTGAGAAATTATTCATTAAGAGTTAAAAAAAAGAGGAAGAATTGTGAATTGAACAGGTCCAGTCCAAAGACTATTTCTACCTACGTAGCTATTAATAGCTACCTAGGTATTTAAAGCTACCAAAAGTAGCTATTTTTACCTACTTTCTGCTTTACTTGCATTTTGTGGCCAAATGCAGGAACGGCGCAACATGGTGAGCACACAATTTTTTGATACAGTCACACTGATGATGAATATGACAAAAATTTGGCCAAATAATGAAAACTTCGTATATTTTAAATTTTGCATAGAAACTAATGTAAAATTGCCGATTCAGGAAGTAATCATTTTTTGGCAAAAATTTTGTCGTATTCATCATTAGTGTGACCATATTAAAAAAAATGGTATTTACCATGTTGCGCCGTTTGGTCTTTTGGTCGCAAAATGCATAAATTATATAAAGTAGGTAAAAATAGCTACTTTTGGTAGCTTTAAATACCTAGGTAGCTATTAATAGCTACGTAGGTAGAAATAGTCTTTGGACTGGACCTGTTGAATGCAAAATAAATTTAATGCATGACATGCTCTGATCTGGTCTGTTTAGATAAAGAATGTGACAAAAGAGACCTGAAACATTTTTTACATACAGTTGAAATAAAAATACATGAATTTACGATCAGATTAAAAATCATGTGTTGCATTTTGTCTTAAGGTAGATCGCGGGTTTACTGTCTGCCTGAAAACATAGGCTAAAAATTTGTTGGCTAATTCCTCTCGTTTTGAATTTTTCTTTCTGAATTTTTTTTTAGATTCGTCTGCGTGGTTAGATTGTAATCGTAATTCAAATGGGCTGATGTTGATGAGAACAGGTTACGCTTTTTCAATGAAATATATAGTAAAATGTCCCTTTTCTGCCGGTATACTCATTTCAAAACCATAATCATAAAATTAAAACGAAGCAGACAAATTATATATTACTCGATACAATGAATGTCAAGTAAATTTAGAATCGATTTATTAAAAAAAATTAGTATGTGTTCTCGCTCAATTTCTTGCAAAAAAACTTTAAAGTTTTACAATTTTTCATCAGAAGTATTATATTTTCATCACGACGTTATATTACGTTGTTACGACGTCATTATTTTCGTATGCCTGCATGACTCGAAAAAAAATGAATTAATAATCAACAATTCACTTAAAATAAAGCATGCAATCGGTGAATTCAATTTCCCGATATAATCATTGCCATAGCTTACCAACAGCGTGGCACTATTTCATTGTCACATGTTTTCTTTTTCTCGCAATAAACGTACAAGGCTAGGGGTGCAGAAAAATTATAACAAATGTACATGGATGTAATGAAAAAAAAAAACACTTCTTAGCGGATTTGAGAACATTTTCAAACATATATAAATTTTGCATCATTTATAGCTATTAATAATATGTACCCGATTTTAAATCGGAAATATTGCAGTTGAATTAAAGTAGCTTTATGACCTATATTGTATACATTTATACTTCATAGAATGAATTAATTTTGTCTATATCCCTGAATTAACAAACTTCAGTTTTCCCTTCGAAATGTCGTAAAGGCCATTTTTATCATTACTTTACCGATATAGAATACTTTAGAAAGGATACAGTATACTAAAAAACAGGTATTGATACTATAGAAAACATTGCTACTTTATGCTATTGTCGCCTCAATTAAAACGCCTGACACCCCCTCTTTTTTATGCTTGTCAAGGAATTTTTGGTTGTTGATAGAACCCCAAACTGAAAATATACAGGAGTAGCTGTGCCCCGATCTGGAATTTGTTTCCTACGGACCTGCAGCTCTTGCCTTGACACTCCCCCCCACAAAAAAGCAATTGCAGTTGTAAGCCGAATCGCTATTAATTGTCATTAATAAAAGGGTCTGAGTTATAGATGACAATTTATAGGACGTACATATTTTATTTGGTGATATTTTATTTGGTAATGTTACCTAAATCATTTACGTCTCTCATTAACCCCCCCCCCCAAAAAAAAAAAAACGTAAAAAAAAAATCATCAGTTAGAGAAACTCATGTACAAATGATAGTTCATCAAACATCTTGACGTACCATATACTGTCCATTTCTTTCTTGTTTTGAAAATCTTTTACCTGTACTTGGCTCAGACAATATTGTTGTGCATAAAAATATTACCAATCTAGGCGTACATCATCACGAAGAAAATGAATACCTTGTATAATGAGATCGAGATGGTTGTAAAACAAATAAATAATAATAAAACAAATAAATAAAAGTAGATTAGTATGGAAACTAAATTAAACAAACAAAATTCATAAAAGTGACACCCCCCCCCCAAGAAAAAAAATATAATAAACTGCAGGGCAGGCGCCAGACATATCGGCGGTGAATTCGTTTTCGTAAATGTATTAACAATTAGGCAATGATATTTTAGAAAGGTGTGTACAAACAACAGATATCAGCGTTAAATACTACTGCTAATGTAAAAGACAAACTTGATCAAAACATCATTTATTCTCAATTACATACAAAAAATACACCAAACAAACTTTAATACATATTTCACTTTTAGCACTGCTGAAGATATTTTTTGCTTGCTAATTTGAACGCGGTAAGCTTTTTACGTCAAATCCTATTATGACGTCAGCAAACCCGCGATCTACCTTAAATTTGCTTAAATAAATCTACATACAAATTTCCAGATAGAAGGGCTAGCTTATTTTGGTATTTTCAGTAAAGGATTTTAATTTTTTACCTGAAAACTTATAAATTTCACTCACAAAGCAATCTACAGCTGTAAATGTTCACTGGAAAGAAGCCTAAAAACAGCAGTACAGTTAATTTTATTTTTTCAGATTGTTGATGTATTGCATCCAGGCAAGGCTACAATTCCTAAAACAGAAGTTAGAGAAAAACTTGCCAAAATGTACAAAACCACCCCAGATACCATTTTCTGCTTTGGGTTCAGGACCAAGTTTGGTGGAGGCAAAACTTCAGGATTTGGATTAATATATGACAGCTTAGATTTTGCCAAGAAGTTTGAACCCAAGTACAGATTACAAAGAGTAATTATTTAAACTGTTTCTTTCTATAAAGAGGTTTATATCATTTATTTAATGATAGCTGAAAAGAAAAGATATACAGTAAAACTCGTTTAGTACGAACATGGGTATTGCGAATTCACGGATATAGCGAAGTCATCTTGGATTCCCAGCTGTATAAATTCAATGAATTTCTTATACGATTATAACGAATTACGGATATAGCGAAGTAATTTCATAGGTCCCAGTGACTTCGTTATAATCGAGTTTTGCTGTAGTTCTTGGAGAATGAGTATTGAATGACAGTTTGGGCTTAGGGCAACTTTCTAAACATGAATACTGGCCCTAATGATTTAAATTTTTACTTATCAAATTCCACATTCAATTTTACGGGAAAGTGTAGGATGTATTAAAATTTAAAATTTATTTAGTAAATGCTTGTTGAATTTTGATACAATAGTGACTGGTATCTTTTTTTATTTTTTTATTTTGATATTGTCAATAACATGCATAGAGCTTTAATGTATAAAATAAATTTATCTGAAAATAATTTTACATTCTGATAAAATGTGACACCCCTTCATAAAAAGCTTTTCAAAGATAGATTATAAGAACATCTTACTCTTATAGCACGGGTTACTTGAAATAAAGAAATCAGGCAGAAAACAAAGGAAAGAAAGGAAAAATAGGCAAAAGAAAGTCCGTGGTACAAAGAAGGCGAAAGTGGGAGCAGGAAAGAAGGTAAGGGACTTTGTTATTGTCACCAGGTCTTCATCGTTTATTATGTCTCTTACAGGAATTTTATTGTGGTCTTAACATAGAACTGTTGTACAGAGATTAAAACTGATATTGTGTGTCCCAAATGGTGAATGTATAGAAGAGATTTTATCTTGTTGACTGTTTATGAATTTCTATCAAAGAAAAATCTTGTACTGAAAACTCCTTCAGTAAATGTTTGTGACTGCAGCTTGATTTATAGATGAATATTTTTCACCGGAGTAAATTCAGTACTGATATGATAACACACAGTAAAGCTAGTTAATTGATTACATTTGTTATAATTTTTCAAAGATTTCAGGTTTTAAAATATTGAAAACTGACAATATTTTCGAAAGTTTTATATTTGTCTATCAATTTTTTTTAAATCTTAAAGTCAGGGTTACTTTTATATTTAATACTTCCCTAATTGAATTTCCAGGAAGAAATTTTATATTCAGGGATTTTCCACTGCCCTGTATAGCGGAATT